ACAAAGATAAAAATTGTACTGACAGAAAAGTGCACATACGTTAAACTCAGTAATTGATGAAATCAACTAGCTCAATAAAGCTTAACTAATTGAACAAAATGGCATTACAAGCATCCTTACAGGGTAAATAGCTGGGAGCCAGAACCAAGAGCTGCAGCAAACAACGACTTGTATTTCGGGAACCTAAAAACATCACCGTGGATGTACTTCCACCCAGTTTCTTCTTGGTCATCGGCTGTCTCCTCATCATGGGCATACCTTTTACAAATCAAAACATATGCATATAAACACTTCAATAAAGGTTTTGATCTTAAAGAACGCGACAGTAACAAAAGAGAAATGTTTCATACTTCACAAAATCATTCTTCAGGACTCGCATGAGAATCGTGGCAAGAAAACCAGTCAAGAGGAGAACTGTTACACAAGAATTGATTATTGAAAACCAATGAATTTCCAAGTGATGTGGTAGTGAAGAAGACTGTGAGTACTTCTCCATCCGCTTCTCAAAAGGAGTATTAGTTTCTTTCCACTTGACAGTGTACATGAATTCCACATCAACATCTTTATCCTCAGTGAGGTCAACAAGGGCATTAGGGTCAGTCCGCGCATTAATCTCGATGACATGATCCTTATTGTAGAGGATCTCAAAGTGAAGATGCTTAAATAGGTAATATTTGTACTCGCTAGGATCAGCTTTGCCTTCCTTGTCAACCTTCCCTAAGAAAACCCAGATGGGCAAGTCATCATAGTACATTTGGAAGTAGTAGTCCTTTGAGACAGCACTTCGGAACTTGGCAGCTTCTTCCTTGGTCAGAGTCTTCTTGCAAACAGTTTCAGAGTCTTTTTCAGCCAAAAAATCAAGTTTATAGGGGGCACTGACTAAACGGTCTCCATTCAATACTTCGCCAAGAGCTTCCTTTTTCTCTTTGACATGATCTGGCATGACATCCCACTAATGATGTAAGCTCCCATGTACAAAACAAACAACTAAAACATAAATAAACTAAGAAAGGATGACCAAATGGGTACCTGGCATGCAGAAAGGCAGATCAAAAAAGCGGTATGTTTCACTGGAAAACACAAAAAGAGTGGCCCGTCATCAGGGGGGGGGGGGGGAGGGAATGTGCATGCTCGCAATGGAGAAAAACTAATATTGTTCTTCCACTAACTCTAGAAAAGAAGCCCATTGAAAACATAATATGTTTAATTGTAATTCCACCAATAAATTCAGACTTAAAGGACTTACCATCTGCCTTGCAATGGCTACATTTCAATTTCAAAATGAAATTAGAAAGTCATTTAAACCCATTTCGGTAGCTGTTCAAGTTTTCATTTCACAACAAATTAGCCATGCGCTTTGGCTCTTGGAGATTTATGTTCTCTTGGCCCTCATAATCATTTCATTGTTCAAAAAGTGCACAAAACAATTTTAGTTTTTAAATAAAATCATCTATTGCAAAGCTCATCTGAACAAGGCCTTCAACATATCCATTTCTCCCTATTTCTTCTCTAAAATCTTAATATTAATTAGCCACCCAATATCAATATTCTCTAGTGCATGTATTTCACTTGCATGGATACAGTAGGAGTTTAGAAGTGTCAAACGAACCAAATAGCTCGTGATTGGATTGAGCTTGGTTCAATAAAAGCTACTTCACAAAGGTAGCCAAGCTTGAGCCAAGAGTTCATTTAGTCGTTGAGCCAGGGTTTTTTTTTTTTTTTTTTTTTTTGTGTGTGTGTGTGTGTGTGTGTGTGGGGTCATGAATAGGTTAAGTTCAAGTACCTTAACAAAATTGAAATCTTATTTAGTTTTTGTAGAAACATACTCAAGAAGTGATTATTCACAATAAATTTCTAATGAAAAAAGTACATCTGGTACAGTTTACATTGGATGGGGGTCTAGGAGAGGTAGAATGGGTACAAACCTAACCCATGGGTTTAAACCCACAAACTCAAGGTTAATAGGCCGAATTTTAATCACAGGACCAGTGACCCCCTGTCATTCAAAATAAATATTTAATAATGTTCAAGGATATACAAAATATAGTGCCAAACAAGCTTACATCAACTGGAACAACTACATCTTTCTACCGCTATAATTTGCATAATTCTAGGAGACATATGCACTAGAATTTAGGGGAGACACATGTCCTAATTTGAGGGCAGCGCATTTCATAATATGATGTATTGTGCAGCCCAAGAAGTTTATGCATGTGCACAACCCATGATGTGGTTCTTCCATATGTCCCTAGTGCAGGCATTTCTCCAACCTTTATTTATTCTCAAGAGGCAATCCTTCATACATCACACACATTGGGATGGGATATTACATTCTTCAAGTGATTATTTGTGCTAGATGGTAAGGCTTTCTATGGTGTTCTTTTTACTCCAAATCAGATTGTTTGTTTGGATATTGAAAATTCATTAACTGCACACAAATTTGAGTTCATTTTTTAAACCGTATCCTTAAGGTGTCATTTCAAGACTTGTGCTCTCAGGTTGCGAAAGTTTCTTGTTACACCAGATCAGATTCTTTGTTTGGATATTAAAGTTGTGCAAAAATTAAAGTTCATTGTTTATTACATACCCTTAAGGTATCAATTCAAAACTTATGCTCCCAAGTTGTGAAAGTAAGATTTTAATGGGGTAATTTTTTTGTGTCCCTCTCATTTTTAGAGAGGTTGTATTTGTGTGCCTTGGGGCATCATTGGATTCCCATATTTTGCAACTTTTTGTATATCTCTATCATGTCGACTTCTTACTCTCAAGCTATGGGAGGTTGCTTCGTTCGTTTCCAACAGGAGTGTATTGAGCTCTATGACATATTAGCAATATTTAACTTGGATAGTAAAAGTTTATCACCCATACCCACAATATATATGGACATAAGCATATGAATTTATATAATTTAATTAAACATATAGCATTTGATATAGCAGATTAAAGGAAAATAATTCATGCAACTAACCCTACTTGATTGGAATACAAGCCTTAGTTTGCTTGGGTTTGGTTTGGTACATAAACATATGGATATATATTGATTTGGAAGGATTTAAGGGTGTGACAATTCCTTGAGTTTGAAATTGAAAGCATATGACACACAATTAAGTAACTGACTTAAAGTGCTGTTTGATAACTTAAAAACTGAAATTTAAGTACTGAAAATTAAATACTGAATTTTTTAATACAAAAAATTATTTGGTATGTACTAAAATTGAAGTGTTGAATTTGATTAATATATTTGATATGTACAAGGATGTGACAGTAATAGTAGGTGTTGAAGTGGTGACAATGGTGGCAATGTTGGTGGTGGTGGAGCCAGTGGTGGTGGCAGTGGAGGGGGTGATAGTGGTACACCTCAACTTCAATATAAAGTATAATCGATTGGAAATTCAGCATTGTGTAAGAACTTTTAGCATATTTTCAAGAGACTTATTATTAACATTTTAAATGATATGAATTGTAGCAATCAAAGGTATGTTGAATTGAGTTTTCAAATCCACCTTACAAATAACAGTGTTTCAGTTTTTTACGAAACAATATTTATTCATACGAGTGTCCTCCTGACTACTGACATCTGGACAAATCATTTGCACAAGGCAGCCGAACCAGTTGGTACACCATTTAAAGCAACCCTAGTTCAAGTTAAGAATTCACCATCGAGCTGAGCTTGACCATCAATGATGAATTTTGGTCCAAGATCAAGCCCAGCTAGCACAGTACGATTCGGATCTCAAGAACTTGCACATAGTTTGTGGATCCAGAAATACACAATAACAGCTCAATTTGGTATAAATTATTTTCATAAAATAGTCATGAAATCAATAATAAAATATTTGGTGAGGTGGATCCACAAAAAGACCGCTTCGATATTGTAAAAAAATGAAGTGAATTATTATAAACAAACAAGATCCAATTAAGGTATTATGAAAACCGTGATAAATCAAACAGATCCCCAGAAATTGAATGCAATGCAATGCAGATGAGAGAGAGATGAAGAATAGATCTGAACCTGGGATTGTGAAAGGGGCCGACTTTATTGGCGTAGAGAGGGACAGGATCTCCAGATTTGTAGGTGTGATCAGAACCATCGGATGTTACTTGCGTCGCTACGAGCAATGCGAAGACGATGACCAACCATCCCATCAGTTTCTCCATTTCTATCATCAACCCCCTCCTCGCACACTTCTAGAGAGAGAGACAAACAAACAGAATTTTAGAGAGAGAGAGAGAGAGAGAGGGCAGATCTGGATGGAATGGAGGTAAACTCAAAGCGGAGGAAGTAATGTATAGGATATGTTAAGGAATGGTTGGGGGGTTTTAATTTAATTTAATTTTAATTACATTTAACCGACGCGACAGGGGAACTGAAAATAATAGGAAAATGACACGGTACAGGACCTACCCCAACTCCATTAATTTTGAGCATCGTTATTAAGAATTTTGTTAAGCTTTGTTTGGGGAGTGAGTTGATTTTTTAATTTTTTTTTATTAATTTAGTTTGGATTAAAAAGTTTAATTTGAGAAGGATTTTTTAATTTTTTTGATTTTTTTTATGAAAGAAGAGCGTAATGATTATGGGTTAAATGTGATGTTTTGTTTGTTGTGGTTAAAATAACTTATTTTGTCTTCTGTTACTATTTTAGCCAAAAAAGTGTAAAAAGCCTCTTCCCAAACAGAGGCTTAAGATATTAAAAATAATATTTTTTATTATACATTTTTTAATTTTCAATCAATTATGTCACTTTCATATTATTAAATTTAAAAAATAAAATTGTATATAATTTTTTACCTTTAAAGCTTCTGAAAATAATTTAAAATTGAAGATAATTTTAAGGGCATCGTACATAATAATAATGTCCTTGTTTGTTTGGTAAGGGTGATCTGGAAACCCAAGTTATGGCACTTTGGTAAGGGCATCCATAATGGGATAATCAAAATTATTTGTTAAAATATGTGTTATATGATAAAAAGTGATAAAAGTGAGATTTAAAATTATTTGTTAAGATGTGTTAAGAGTTTGTTAATTTTAGAAAGTGAATGATGGTGCAATGGATGTGTTAAGAGGTGTATTAAGGAGTGTGTTAAATATATATATATATATATGTGTGTGTGTGTATAATAAATAAAATAAATAAATAATTTAGTTTAATCAAAAATTTCAAGCCCAAAATTAAATTTCAAGTAAAAAAAAAATCCAAAAAAAAAAAAAATTACCGTTGATCGGTCAACCGGCCGGTCAACCCAGAAGACAAAAAAAACTCTTCCCTTCCTAGCTGCAACGCTCTTCGCAGTTAACAAACAAGTTAGCAACTGGCCCTAACACACATGACTAACACACACGTTAACACGTCCATTATGAGATCCAAAGGTGACTGTAGCTAGCTAAACTTTGGCAACTGACACTAAGGGTTGGTTTGGGGTGTCCTAAAAAAATACACTTTTTGTCTTTTTAGGAAAAGATGTGCAGAAAAGTAGAGAGGTGATGTGATGGAAAAAAGATAAAAAGATGGATTATATAGGTTATGCCAAACCAACCCTAACACTATCACTAACACGTCCACTACGGATGCTCTAAGGGGTTGGAACAAAAATTCTGAGGTCTCAGGTTCCATATTCCGCAAGATCAACTCTCAGGAGTTAGATGCTGTGGTCTTAGGACAATCCTCTAAGTGCTGGACGACCTGTATCTAGAGAATGAGTTTGGGGTCGAATCTTGACAACTGCACTCTCTGATTGAAATAGTATGTGCGTTGTGAAATCGGTACACACATCGAAGATTTGCTCCTCATCCTACTCCGGTTAATCGACATAAGACAGTTGATTAACCGACATTAGATAGTTGATTCTGAAATTGACGGAGGACAGATTTGGAGAGTTTACTCATTAATCAAAGGGTAGCCTAATTGGTCCACTATGTTAGCAAATTATCTTATTTGTGTTATAATCATTTTATTTAGATCACATTACCTCTCTATTATATCATTTCAAACTTACTCATATTTCATATATTTTGATAAAAAGTAAAAAAGTATATTAATTTAACACATGCCAAACACACTTAATTATCTTTTTAAACATAATATATTTTTAATCAAGATAAAATAATTAAAAAAATCAACTAAAATAAGTAAGATTCGAAATGTGACCAATATTTCCGAGGGCCAAAATGTCTTATCAAGCTCATATGAAACATGTTCAAAAAAATAAATAAATAAATAAATAAACCTCACATGAAACCCTAGTCCTAGCAAGAACCTCACTCTACACCTCAAAACATGCTTGCCATGAATGAAAAGTCCTTGGAAACTGCCCACATTGCCTTTTCTTTTTTGAAAGCTTTTTAATTTTTAATTTTTTTGTTTTTTTTTTTTGTTTGGTAAATTGTGCTAATCGGGACAAATTTAAAAAGTACTGTCAAATTATCAAGGTCAATTTAAAATTTTAAAAAAATTACTACAAAAAAAAAGTCAACTCCAAAAGAGAAATTTCCTATGCACCAAGCCAAGGGAGTTAAACCCTATTAATAATGTTATATACTCTTAAAAAAAATATAATCTTTATAATCTCTACTCATCTATGATTGGTTTAAAAAAATAAATAAATAAATAAAAATACATGATTAATTCATATCATTTTAAAAGTTGTAAAAGTCTTCAACTCTAAAGGTCTAAATATTTTTAAAAGAGTAATATTAGACACTTTAAATATTCTATCAAAATTTTTATCAAATATGGTGTGAGACCCACACGATATAAATATTATGTAGAGCTTTCATACATGTAAGATATTTGATAAAAATTTTAATAAAATTTTTGAAACGTTCAACATTTTTATTTTTAAAACCCTACAAACACTTCCTTCTCACGTGGCCAAGAGATACCTAGCCACCGTTATAGATCCGAGGAGGTGGGATGTAGAAGATGTTTATCTAATCTAATGGTGGAGGAGAAGCGCTTGATGGGAGTCGAGCTTCATGGTTGAACAAGTCTATCATCATATTGATAATCTCAAACTCTGTTAAAAAAATATAAATAAATAAATAATTGATAATATCAAACAATACCAGTTTCATCTCCAAGGCAAACACCCAGGACAAAAGATGAAGGTATTTTCGAAAAAATTCACCTTGTTTACCAATTTTCTTAAGATTGTTTTTTTATGTTTCGTATTTTTTTTATTTTTAGTTAATTTTTTTAATATTTTTAGTAATTTTTTTACCTTGTAAAATGCATTTAATATAAATATAATTAAGGGGATGCACCAATAAATCTGAAATTAATAACTTATACACTGTTTAGTCTTAAAAGTTTTCTTATAGACTGAAAGGTCCCATTATAATGTTTCAAACATCAGATTAATGTTTCGAACATTAGATTTCGAATATCAGATTAATGTTTCGAATATTAGATTTCGAACAACAGATTAATGTTTCAAACATTAAATTGATGTGCAAATGGAACTAAATGGAGCATAAGAAAACTTTTAGGACTAAATGGTTTAACTTTTCAGAAACTAGGACTTATGGGTAAATTTTCCTACAATTAACAAGTCTAAATTTGTGAAAAAATCTATAAAAATTCAGTAAATACTAAAAAAATTATTAAAAAAATAAAAAGTTAGTACATTTTTATATTCTTGTGTATTTATTGATATTTGTAAATATTGCTTTACAGATATTTTATTTTTTAAGTACATTTACGTTAGGTGCATCTAAAAAGTTAAAAAAAAAAAATTTGTTTAAAATATTAAAAAAAATCACTAATAACAAAAAAACTCAATTTTCAAAAGATTGAATTCAAAAAATTGAAACCAAACAAAGTGATATATCGATAATTAAAAAAAATTCATACACAATGATATGGTATTGTTTAAGAGCATGTCCAACGGTAGTAAGCATTTTACCTATCTAAATATTACTATAAAGTATATATTTTATTTTGCCTATCAACTGTTTTATGTTTTTACTCCAACCATGCTCTTTATTTTAATTATTTATCCAAATACTATTAATTTTATAGAATGCCACGTCAGTAACAAAGATGGAGGGAAATGATCTTAATGATTGAATACATTTTGCCTAGCGTTGAAGGCTAGCTACATGTAACTAGTGAATATGCGTTGAGCCAAAATGCCTAATCATATGCCTAGTGCATTGGAATTGAAAAAAGTGAATCACACTAGGCATTTTAACTAACAAGTATTATATGCCCAGTGCATTGGAGATGCTCAATATGGTTCGGTTTGATACTAAATTTGAAATCAACCTAATCATGATCGGTTCTAAATTTTTGAACTTAGTTAAGGCTTCGTTTGGGAATAGGGATTGAGTTGAGATTAGGGCCATTTAGCCACAAAAAATAAAATATGATATTTAATTCAATAAGACAAAATATCACATCCAACCATTATATTATTTCTCTCACAAAATGTTAAAAAAATCAAAAAGTTCATCCTAAACGAGACTTTTTAGGCTCAGGCTAAAATAATAAAAAAATCAAATTAAAATCAACCAATTCGAAAGTAACACGTGACAATGAATGAAAAATACAAGCTAGCCAATCAGAAGTAAGCACATGGCAAACTTTGAAAGGAACAAGTGTCAAATCAGAATCATGCCACGTGACAATTCGCAGAACAAGAGTTTGCAAAATCCAACCATTTTAAGGTGATTACAGAGAAGCGAATGATGCATATCAGAATTTATAAATAAAAAAGCCAAACAGTGAAAAATCTGTGAATGTAACTAAAATGGTGAATATTGTGGGATAAACTCCAATGGTTGCTACGAATTCTAAGGACACATTAAAAACACTTAAATGAAGAACAGAGGAAGGCCCGCCAAACAAATCCAACATTTGTCCTTTCTTTTTTTTTTTTTTTTAGGAGTATTTACGTGTAAATCCTAATAAGCGGATTTATTGTCTAATAAGGCCTATAAGAAAAATTTGTTATAAAAAACATCACTAATTGTAAGTTTTAGTGATAATTTATAAAAATCATGATAAAAAAAATCACTAATTGTCAATTTTTAACAACATATATAAGAAATTGTCACAAAAAAATTATTTTTAGGCACAATTTTATCAAGATTTATTTTTAATAAAAATTGATGAGAATTAAGTCAAACTATTAGGACCTATTGGTAATTTACTCTTTTTTCTACTCTGCACTTTTCTTTTTATATGTATTACCATCTAAATATCAAATTAAAAAGAGTGAACCTAGCCTTATTTGCCTAAATTGATAGTGGTATTTAATCATGACTC